GCCCGCTCCGGCCTCGGTCCCCCCGCGGCCCGCCCCCGCTCCGTCCACCCGCAGTCTTCCCAGCACACTGCGTGGGCGACCTTGCGCGGGACGCGCGGTCCTCCAGTGGGTCACTGTCGCCGTGGGACAGGAAGCGGGCCCTGAGCCAGCCACCCCTCCCCCCCGACTTGCCCTTCACCCTCTGACGTAACCGGCCTACACAGAGCTCCCAGGACCCATGCTCTCAGCTCCCCCGCACGCGATCCGCTCCCTGTCCACCTGCCCACTGCTGCTCGGCTGTCAAGACGCAGCACAGACACAGCCCCCCGCTAAAGCCCTTCCCTGGCATCTGCATCGGCGGTCAAGGGCGCCTCTGAGCCTCCCTCGGCACGTGCACCTCCACCACGGGAGACCGCACGGCATTCTTCAAGGGTCCGTAAGATGCCTGTTGTTCTACTGGACTGTAAACCCCTTGACCAAGGATGGTGATTTTTTTCATCTTTGTATCTAATTCAATGCACATGGCACATAGTTAAAAAATAATAATTACAGAGGACTGAACTTTAGGCCAACGAAAGGGCAAGAAGATATCCACTGGACTTTGAGTGTAGGAAAAAATCTAGATCCTAAGGAAGTACAGCCATCTATTCCCAAGTCCCACCCATAAAAAAAAAAAAAAAGAAATACATGGCTATTCAGACAGTATCAAAGTGACTAAGAAAAAACTGATCGTTGGACCAAGCAGGCAATAAGGAGTCCAGAGTCCCTGGCAGAGCAGCTGACGAAAGGCCAGAGATAAAGGAGGTTCTTTCTATCAGTTGAGCAATTCATCGACCTACGTCCAAGGACAGGCCAGAGCCTGGCACCTTCCTCTCTCAGCTCAGCACTCCCCCCCTTCGTCATTACTCTCCGCACCCCTTCCCCAGCCCCACCACCAAATCCCAGATTCCATGGGGAACTGCCCTACTCAGCGCCCCAGGCCTGGGACGTAAGAGAGACAGGGAGTCTTTGTTCTTGTAGCAAGGACCTAAAGGAGAGAAAACGAAACTACGCTTTACTGAGGACTTACTTTGTACCCGATATTGTGCTACGTTACACACACTCAGTCTGATAGTGATCATGAGTAATGAGCCCATTTTAGAGGTGAGGGCTTTGTGTCCAAGGTGACGCAGCGACGCAGCGACACAGCCTGCCCCAGAACCAGGAGTGACAGCCTCCGGAGTATTTCCATAGCCCTGACACCTCCAAACACAGGGGGATGTGGCCAAGCCACTCCAGGGGGGCACTCAGAAAGTGCAGAATTCGCCCGGCCGGGCGTGGCTCAGCGGTTAAGCGTCGACCTGGGATCCAGGCGATCACGGTTGGATTCCCGGTCAGGGCACATGCCCGGGTTGTGGGCTGCAGCTGATCAATGACTCTCTCATCATTGATGTTTCTAGCTCTCTCTCTCCCTCTCCTTTCCTCTCTCTGAAATCAATAAAGATATATTTAAAAAAAAAAAAAAAAAGTGCAGAATTCTCCAAAACACTGTTACAAATGCTGGTTAGGGCCTACAGGACCACTCACACACACGGGCACACAATGAGTTAAAAAAGCTGTTGGGGTCCCGACCTAGAAATCTAAAAGCTATTTGCCATTTCATTCCTATAATTACCCATCACAAACAAATATGGGCTTGAAAATACATTTTTGGGATACAAAGTCCTCTTAAATGAGGCTTTTTTTTAAAGAGTATTTTCTTCCACACACCAAAAAAAAATCACCAAGGGCAGAAACCATTCCGCCTTAACTCGTAGGAACAAGGGCCCTGGGAGACACCTGTGGGAAACGCGCTACCTGGCCAGGTGCTCGCTGACGGCGAGCTGTCATTTGAATAAAATACCCCACTCAGCCCTGCAGACAAGAACATGTGATGGAGGCGCCACCGACTGGAGCAATACAGCTGACGAGCCTCTAATCTGCTGCCAGGGCCTGTTCCCTCGCAAAGCGAACCCGACATCTGCTGCGAAATCGGATGTGTGTGGACTTGTCCTTCTTGGCTCCTGGAGCCACGTTAGATCCGCTAAATACACGGCTGAGCCGTATCATTAAACCCACAAGTCGGAGAAACCATGACAGCTCGGACACGAAGCATCGGCGTTTTTATTGTAATCCTTACAGACATTTCTGATACAGAATCCTGACTTTCAGCTAAATGCAGGCAGGCGTGTGTCTCTCTCACGCCGGGAGCAGTGGCAGAGCCTTTTGAACACGGTACAGAAGCCCCTTCCTTCCCTCCCATCCCCATCGGAAGCTGGCCCGCTACAGGGGCTGTGGAATCACCTGACAGGGGGACTAGGAGCCACATGGGGTGTCTGTCCTTGTCATAGAAATCCTAGGATCAGCTAAAACAGGTGATCTCTGGGAAAATGGCTTAGCACCTTTAGGAAGGTTAACTACTGAACTGCCTCTTACAATCACAAGAAAAGTCATAAGAAAGTGATGGGGGACCAGATAGAGAGACAGGGAGGGAAGTCAACAGGGCCCGCGGCTGGTTTTTTCACACACTCGTTTTCATATGCTCACTGCCATTCTGACAGATGAAAAGTTAAGGAGCAGAGACGTTTTCACCGGCCCCACGTGGCAGAGCGAACAAAATCAGAGCCGGGAATCAGGCCCACGTCCAAGACACGGGACATGGAAGGCACGCTACTCCTACTTGAGGGTTTGGGTGAAGCAGGAGTGGTGGGGAGTAGCCAAAAAAAAAAAACCAGAGAGAAAAGGCAGAAATTTAGAATTTTTCCAAATATATGATGATGAAATACAAAGTCAAAGAAATAGGCATGGATTGTTGGCAGTGGCCCACGTGGGAGTGAGTTCAGAGGAGACTGGCTTTCTACCTTTCATACCCTCGCAAGATTCCATTTTAAACACAGTTTTTTAACCTCTGTAACCAGAAAAGGACTCCTTTTTCACTTAGATAAAAAGTGAGGTTAGCGCAGGAAGAGATGAACCAAAGAACATATATGCATATATGCACAGCCCATGGACACAGACCACAGTTTGGTGAAGGCCTGGGGCTGTCTCTTATACACATCTAGATGTGTATAAGAGACAGGATCTACTTAATACATAGAAACAAATC